CACGTTCTAATATTGGTTGCAGGTCTTGGGAATTGAAGTTGGTTGATCGGCGTGAATGGCCCGATTTTATCATCATGGCAGTTGTCTAGGTACAGAAGAATGATCGCATGCATGCGGAGAAGAAGCGGCAATTGCGGAAGCGACAGGCGCTGATGCGTTGTACCCCACCGACATTGAGAGTATGGTGTTGTAACACATGCACTCGTGACTGCCTGTGTCAGGCACGTCTAGTGGGCCATGAGCGAGGCCACTCGAAGCCACCAGTGAAACGACGACGGGTCCTGCAGAGAAAGTAGGCAGAACTGGGGAAGGGTTTGTAGGTACGCTGCATTCGTTTTACTAACCGCTTGTTTGCATGCTGGGTCTCTTTATTTTAGGTAGTGTGTTTGCTATCTTGTCTACCTGAACTATCTATTAAGTTGCACACATCGCTGAAGTTAATTCTAGTTACTTTTGATAAGATTTTCGCGTTTGTTGCATTCACTTAGAATATATTTTCTGACATCTTGTACATGTAGCGGATTTCTGGGGACCAGTTAATTTTATAGATTCATGTAGTGAAGAGTTTTGTCGGCATATCTGTATCCATCATACGATTTATTTGATTTGATATCGTCGTTTGTGGTAGGCTGTTGGTTGATATCCCCGGTTTGGCTGCGCTTGATGTGCATGTTGATTGGTGCCTACTTGTCTATTACTCACTTCGTCGTCCACACTGGCTGCAGGAGACAGTTGGTTGTTGCTGGAGGGGACGGAGTGCACGGTCCTTGTGGCCGTGCTAGGCTCTAAGAGTGATTCCATGCACCCAGTGTGGAACGGACTAAAACCCAGCCACCGCCGTGTGCACGTCTGGTGTGCATAATTTCCCCGTTAGGCCGGAATGCTTCTGTTCTGCTTGTTAAAGGTGTGTGGGCAGGCTCCGTTAATGAAATGTTGCTCCCATCCACATGCCACCCAGTCCTAGTCCTTCGAGTTTACACCAGGTATGGGGTGCGTGGATGGAACTGTGGGTGGTGCAGCGCAAGCCACCCATGGCCACCCTGTAGGCACAGGCGTTCTGTTGCTGTTTTCCATGGAGGCCACAGTGACAGACAAATCCGGATACGGATGCCGTCAACCCCCACCACTCCATTGTCATCTCTTTAATAAGGGGCTTGGGTAAGTGGGATCAAGTGTAAGCTCAGAAATTAGGTGCTCAATAATTCCAAGATTCCCACCATATGCACACTATTAACAGAATAGAAATGGGTACAGAATCCCTGCAATTCGTACTTGAAGTAATCTGAAGATAGAACTGCCGCGTTACACATCCCGGTTGATGCTTCCTTTGGCAATTGTCGACCGCCACATCACTAGCATTGCGTCGACCAGGTCGATGGTTACCGCACGATTTGACAGGCTTATTTTACTACTGATGAAGTAACGGTAACTTGTTTTTATTAGATTTTGGTAGCCGTTTTACGGCTAACGATGTGAGCTAGCACAAGCGAATTCGTGCTCCGTGAGCTTGTAATTCATTGTACTTGCTGTGTAATCGTCGTTGCGCTAAAGGCTTACGTGGTAATTCACTCACAAATTGGGCTGTGAACAAGCGATGACCTAAGTGTCTTTGCTTTATTCCAAAGATGACTTGCTTAGAACCGCGAATTTTTCCAACTCTGTGGATGTGACGACTGTTATACTTCCAACTGCCGCCTAGGGTGTTGAAGGAGCGTGTGTCAGATTCGTAATAAGAGAATCTCCCCTTCCACCTACTCGCTATTCTTGTTCCCTTCAGATGCTACATACATGTGTTGCGTGATCAGAGTCGTTTTTAGTTTAGGGCATACCGCGCATGGTTCTCCTTTAAGCATCGAACTCAGGGATATAAGCAGACACATGACATCTGAGTGTGAAAATCAATTGGACAAATATTATTATTACTAATACTAATGCCGTACCAGGATTACAGCTGGCTTTCATCTCCTGAGCTGAAGCATTTGCATACAAAAGGCTATCAAAGCTGGTTTTCACATCCGCCGACTACGTCCAGCAATGTCAGTTAAGTAAAGACAAGAATATTACAGAAAACCCTGAGCTATTGCATTGGTAGCAATGTCCGCGGACTCTAGGGTATAGAAAAGAGGATAGCGGAAGATTTCCTGTGCTACATATGGCCTCAACTTACCAGTCTGGTAAGAGGCTACCGATAATATCCTTAGAGTCACTTAATTGGTTATTCTATGTGCAATCAGGTGGCGCTCCGCTCCCAAGCTACCGATAGTCTCTGCACTTAAGAAGGCACAAAGTATGAGTCCAGCCATTGTTACGAGTGACTGTAACATGCTGTTTTGTGAATACCAGAATGCGTGCCGATGGAGCAAGCCATATATATGAGTATCGCAGCATAAGTAACGCGTCAGTGATCTCACGGCTACATGTGCTAAACGCAACTCAGACTGCCTTGAGCGTCCGTGTAGTCGATGTAGCCAATTGATATTTGAGTTTTAGATCCGGTGTATTTTTAGTAGAATGTTGTAGGGACTTCATTCTTCCACTAAACTTCGTGCTGGACACCTTTTCTCATTCTCATATTTCGCTAGTCATGTTGCCGTGGAACCGTTACGCCATGCATTATTGTTGACAGCGTTATCGGCTGACAGTTATCTCTGTCCTAACCAAGCGACACCGTTACTGGGTTGCCGACTGCGTGGTCACCCTAGTGATACCTTTGTCGGGCGGCAATCACGTCACACTGATAACCACTTTTGTTCCATTAAGAAGTAGCAACTATGCCACTTTCCGGATAACGAGGAGATTCGTACTATAAACACGGGACTGTACAAACCGTGATCATCTTTGGCTTGATCAGTTGACGCTTTGCTGAAGGTCGTTGTCTTCTTCTCTTTCGGAGTCGCTAGTAGACTTGCGGTGCCCGTGTTAGCCTTGGCAAAGTAAGGAAGAACCACAGGCCGGCTAAGTCACCAGACGCGCGTCGATGCAAATTCGATCGTCCAATGGTCCGCTGGGAGACGCGGCCCATAAGAGCCGAATCGTTGGTCCGACTAAACGCGTCGTATCCAAGTGAGGGCGTTACAACATAGAGCGACCCTGCTTGGACTCGTAGTAGGCCTGATCAGAATGTGTTACCGATCGAAGTGGATGGGGGTTAAGTGCCCACTGTACTCCCATACTTATCACATGTTCACAGATGGGTCAACCTAGTGAAGATAGATACACTGGTTGGCCACACACACATACACACACACACACACACACACACGGACCTGTCCATCTCCGCCTTGTCCGAGAAGGTGGACCACAGAGCACACTTAGTGCTTAAATACACATTGCCGTTTCCAAGCATAATTTTATGCCATTCGGATCATGAGCAGTATATACTCTTGACACACTCGCCAAACCGAAGCTTATCGCCTTCCAAGGGTTTACCAAGTGATTTCGTGAGCTCTTCCTCAAGCACAAAATGGCCTCTAACGTTCAAGTCAATCAGAGCGACTTTCAGATAAGTAACAGGAATGCTGCTTCTTCATGGGTGTTTGGAATACCAACCCGCCAACCTTTACATGTCATCGTAGCTCATAGGTTATTAAATTTTGATAACCATTGTAGAAGGGTGACTTTGTTGCATTCTGACTCAAGTGGGGTTAGTCGGCGAATTATTTTGATCAATTACTGAATGATATCAAGAAACAACAACTGCTGACGTTTGGTAGACGCTACTGCCACTATGACTATCAAGTATGCTACACCGTCTCCCATAAAACTTCGTCCACGACATTAGATTGAGCGCTTAAAAATCATGGAAATTTGCTATATGCAAAGGAAGCAACCTGCATGACAGTGGAGGATAGGTTGCGCCACATCCCAGTTAACATATTCAGACATTCTGCCTCCGTCCGTCATGGCTCAGTGGCATAAGCTGCTAGTTAGTTGACATATGCTACTAAGGGTCATGGGTTCTTCGCCAGCAGGGTACCGAGGGAATGCGTACCATTGACGAATCCCGATAGGGTGAAAACTTCTTCTGGAGCTGTTCCGGATTGGGATTAATCTGGCTTATTAGCAGCTGGGATGAACCAGCAAAATATCATCGAAAATCCTCCTACTTATCACTACTCCTATTTTGTACACCATCCTTGGAATTACCCGAAATTCTGTTCATTCAAACCACGTTTCATCGGTCTCCAAAATCGGCTCGTTTTCACATTCAATATAATGTTACGTGAACTGAAGCTAGCAAGTGCAGCAATGTGGACTACTGCTCCGTAAGAGACATAAAGCCAGGATTAGTGTGGACAGGTTGATTGACGATATGTAGAATTTTTTATATATTACTCGTAAGTAGCAGGATTTTAGTCGTAATCATTGTAAGGTATTTATCCCGATAGTTCACAAGCTACATAGTATAGCCTAGTCCGGAAAAGCACCAGACGCGTTTCGCCCAATTGGGGCCCGTCAATGGTTCGCATTCCCTCGGTCCTCTAATGAGGATCGAATCCATGGCCGCTAGAGGCAAATGCCAACTAGCCAGCAGCTTAGGCCACTGAGTCATGGGGGAAGTCGGCTGGGCTGCATAATTTGAAAAACTAACTGGGATATATATATGTAGAATTTCCAATGGTACATGATATGTGTCCCCAGGTTCTAAATATCCACCCAATTAAATAGGCACGCGGTTCCCTGTCTGGCATAATCACTATCCCATCACAATTTTCATAAGCCCGTTCAAATGCTTGACCAGCATCAAAGGAAGTGTAAGCACCGTACTGCAACGATTTCGAATAGTCACAGATTCGCTGACTTACTGGTGGAGCGCCTCGAATGACGTCCCACAGATCCAGTGCTCGAGGGCAGTCCTGCTATATCTGATTGGCGAGCTCGAAATCAGTCGTGAACTGAGGTGTTACAAGTGGCTGATCTCTAATTTTGTGTGACAACGCATGCGTTTAACGATTTATATGCACGATTTGCTTGATCTGCACTTGACAAACAACAAAAGTCTCGTGATAAGGTCATTGGTTTGCTGCAGCTAAACGTGGACATAAATAGAAATTGTGTTAACACAACCTGAGCAATGCAATTAAACGTACAAAGCACATGGAGTGATTTGTTTTGACAAACTTCAAAACTGGCCGCGTAGAAATCGGGCAGCAACGAACTGAGTAACAATGTTTTGTGGAAGTTATACGTGCGACGGTATATAGGACTAAATGTACAAAGTCGCCTAGTAGAAGTGTCGTCACCTTCCATCATTTTGAGCTGTTCTATCCTCTGGTTCCACCACCGCCTTGATTTAATCCATGACGCAAAGTTATCTGGCATGCCATAGCATGCCACCGAGATCTGCCGCAACAAGCATGATCGCGATTTCCTAATTTCTCGGCTCGAACCTTGTCGTGCTCCTGACAATGGTCACATGGCTCTGAGTTCTTCGTCGTTCGCGTGACTGGGGGTTGGATTTGAGTACCCGATTTGTGGTTGTCCTTGTCTAAACCAAGGCGGATGGTACTGGGCCAATTTCAGGGTTGCTCTACCTGAAACCCGAATCGGTGTGCTTGATTGCGTGCCTGAGCTGTGCACAGTGGTTCCACAAAGCACTCGGGTTTGATTGATTAGTGCTCCTGTGCGGTCGAATTGTTCTACCAGATCGACCAGTGTGGTGTAGATAGGCTGAAGTTCCGCACCTCGCAGCACTATGTACGAGTTTGTCTGTGTGTGATGAATGGAAGAGACTGTAATTGGAATATGCACATTATGCAATCAAAATATAGAGGGAGAGAAACTACGGAAAGTGCATTTAAGGAGATGTGATTCATGTGAGCGCAACCAACACATGCCATTCTATATTGCATGCTCGGGTGCTATACTTATCTCAAGTTTATCACTGCCTGCATTCTGTCTCGCTGGATATACTACACACTCATGATGTTAGATAGGTTGCTCGAGATGCATGTGAAGTAGTAAGCAGACCAGTGAAACACCTATTACAAGGTAGCAGAATTCGCAGTAAGCCCTGTTTAGATTGTACTTGGTATTCAAGTCAACCCCTGCAAAACTTACATCAAAATGGTTCACCGATGAAAATCGCACGCTTCACAGCATACCATACGCAGGTGCATACAATTCCCAGACCAGAAAATGTGCACATCGATGTGTACATCCAAACACTGGTATAAGGCCCTTCGGAAAACATTGATAGGAACGGCATTTGAGAAAGCATAATATGGTTATTAAGCATGAATCTAGTAATCTTGCCCCATGCTGAGGCTGATGTTGCATTCTTGATGCTTCTTCACCGCAGTTGGGCTAAACCAACTTACACTTAAACTAGGTCTTTTTAAGCTGGATAAATTTCATTCCGCTTTATTTGGTTTGTTCTGCCTCCCTGAATAATGTTCTATTAACTGGCTACGTTGCTTACACTAATTGCGCTTATCTTCGGTAATTTTGTTGCGTTTGTAGCATTTTAAGTAACTTGTGGACATGTCTTACTTATCACGGATTTGTTGCTAACCAAATTACTTCATATGCTAATTTAGCGCAGAGTTATGCCACCGTATCTGTATGCATTATTGTATTTATTTTATTTCAGCTTGTCGTTTAAAGTGAATGGCTGTTGTTTGATATCCCTGGTATGGTTGCGCTTGATGTGTATGTTGACAAGGTGCCTACCTGTCTATTACCCACTACATCGTTCATACTGGCTCCAGGAGACAGTTGGTCGTTGCTGGAGGGGACGGGGTGCACGGTTCTTGTGGCCGTGCTAGGCTCAAAGAGCGGTTCCATGCACTCAGTGTGGAGCGGACTACGGTCCAGCCACCGCCTTGTGTGCGCTTGATTCCCCAAATACAGCGTGCTTGTGTTTGCCTGTGAAGGAGTGTGGGCCGGCTCCGTTGATGAAACGTGGTTCCCATCCGCATGCCTCCCGGTCTTATTCCTTCGGGTTTACACTGGATATGGGGTATGTGGTTGGAGCTGTGGGTGGTGCAGCGCAAGCCATCCATGGTCCCTCTGTAGGCGCAGGCGTCCTGTGGCTTGCCACAGTGACAGGCAAATCCGAAACCGGATGCCGCCAACCATGTATGTATGTGTGCCCCATGCTGAGGCTGATGTTGCATTCTTGATGCTTCTTCACCGCAGTTGGGCTAAACCAACTTACACTTAAACTAGGTCTTTTTAAGCTGGATAAATTGCATTCCGCTTTATTTGGTTTGTTCTGCCTCCCTGAATAATGTTCTATTAACTGGCTACGTTGCTTACACTAATTGCGCTTATCTTCGGTAATTTTGTTGCGTTTGTAGCATTTTAAGTAACTTGTGGACATGTCTTACTTATCACGGATTTGTTGCTAACCAAATTACTTCATATGCTAATTTAGCGCAGAGTTATGCCACCGTATCTGTATGCATTATTGTATTTATTTTATTTCAGCTTGTCGTTTAAAGTGAATGGCTGTTGTTTGATATCCCTGGTATGGTTGCGCTTGATGTGTATGTTGACAAGGTGCCTACCTGTCTATTACCCACTACATCGTTCATACTGGCTCCAGGAGACAGTTGGTCGTTGCTGGAGGGGACGGGGTGCACGGTTCTTGTGGCCGTGCTAGGCTCAAAGAGCGGTTCCATGCACTCAGTGTGGAGCGGACTACGGTCCAGCCACCGCCTTGTGTGCGCTTGATTCCCCAAATACAGCGTGCTTGTGTTTGCCTGTGAAGGAGTGTGGGCCGGCTCCGTTGATGAAACGTGGTTCCCATCCGCATGCCTCCCGGTCTTATTCCTTCGGGTTTACACTGGATATGGGGTATGTGGTTGGAGCTGTGGGTGGTGCAGCGCAAGCCATCCATGGTCCCTCTGTAGGCGCAGGCGTCCTGTGGCTTGCCACAGTGACAGGCAAATCCGAAACCGGATGCCGCCAACCATGTATGTATGTGTGCCCCATGCTGAGGCTGATGTTGCATTCTTGATGCTTCTTCACCGCAGTTGGGCTAAACCAACTTACACTTAAACTAGGTCTTTTTAAGCTGGATAAATTGCATTCCGCTTTATTTGGTTTGTTCTGCCTCCCTGAATAATGTTCTATTAACTGGCTACGTTGCTTACACTAATTGCGCTTATCTTCGGTAATTTTGTTGCGTTTGTAGCATTTTAAGTAACTTGTGGACATGTCTTACTTATCACGGATTTGTTGCTAACCAAATTACTTCATATGCTAATTTAGCGCAGAGTTATGCCACCGTATCTGTATGCATTATTGTATTTATTTTATTTCAGCTTGTCGTTTAAAGTGAATGGCTGTTGTTTGATATCCCTGGTATGGTTGCGCTTGATGTGTATGTTGACAAGGTGCCTACCTGTCTATTACCCACTACATCGTTCATACTGGCTCCAGGAGACAGTTGGTCGTTGCTGGAGGGGACGGGGTGCACGGTTCTTGTGGCCGTGCTAGGCTCAAAGAGCGGTTCCATGCACTCAGTGTGGAGCGGACTACGGTCCAGCCACCGCCTTGTGTGCGCTTGATTCCCCAAATACAGCGTGCTTGTGTTTGCCTGTGAAGGAGTGTGGGCCGGCTCCGTTGATGAAACGTGGTTCCCATCCGCATGCCTCCCGGTCTTATTCCTTCGGGTTTACACTGGATATGGGGTATGTGGTTGGAGCTGTGGGTGGTGCAGCGCAAGCCATCCATGGTCCCTCTGTAGGCGCAGGCGTCCTGTGGCTTGCCACAGTGACAGGCAAATCCGAAACCGGATGCCGCCAACCATGTATGTATGTGTGCCCCATGCTGAGGCTGATGTTGCATTCTTGATGCTTCTTCACCGCAGTTGGGCTAAACCAACTTACACTTAAACTAGGTCTTTTTAAGCTGGATAAATTTCATTCCGCTTTATTTGGTTTGTTCTGCCTCCCTGAATAATGTTCTATTAACTGGCTACGTTGCTTACACTAATTGCGCTTATCTTCGGTAATTTTGTTGCGTTTGTAGCATTTTAAGTAACTTGTGGACATGTCTTACTTATCACGGATTTGTTGCTAACCAAATTACTTCATAAGGTAATTTAGCGAAGAGTTATGCCACCGTATCTGTATGCATTATTGCATTTATTTTATTTCAGCTTGTCGTTTAAAGTGAATGGCTGTTGTTTGATATCCCTGGTATGGTTGCGCTTGATGTGTATGTTGACAAGGTGCCTACCTGTCTATTACCCACTACATCGTTCATACTGGCTCCAGGAGACAGTTGGTCGTTGCTGGAGGGGACGGGGTGCACGGTTCTTGTGGCCGTGCTAGGCTCAAAGAGCGGTTCCATGCACTCAGTGTGGAGCGGACTACGGTCCAGCCACCGCCTTGTGTGCGCTTGATTCCCCAAATACAGCGTGCTTGTGTTTGCCTGTGAAGGAGTGTGGGCCGGCTCCGTTGATGAAACGTGGTTCCCATCCGCATGCCTCCCGGTCTTATTCCTTCGGGTTTACACTGGATATGGGGTATGTGGTTGGAGCTGTGGGTGGTGCAGCGCAAGCCATCCATGGTCCCTCTGTAGGCGCAGGCGTCCTGTGGCTTGCCACAGTGACAGGCAAATCCGAAACCGGATGCCGCCAACCATGTATGTATGTGTGCCCCATGCTGAGGCTGATGTTGCATTCTTGATGCTTCTTCACCGCAGTTGGGCTAAACCAACTTACACTTAAACTAGGTCTTTTTAAGCTGGATAAATTTCATTCCGCTTTATTTGGTTTGTTCTGCCTCCCTGAATAATGTTCTATTAACTGGCCACGTTGCTTACACTAATTGCGCTTATCTTCGGTAATTTTGTTGCGTTTGTAGCATTTTAAGTAACTTGTGGACATGTCTTACTTATCACGGATTTGTTGCTAACCAAATTACTTCATATGGTAATTTAGCGCAGAGTTATGCCACCGTATCTGTATGCATTATTGGATTTATTTTATTTCAGCTTGTCGTTTAAAGTGAATGGCTGTTGTTTGATATCCCTGGTATGGTTGCGCTTGATGTGTATGTTGACAAGGTGCCTACCTGTCTATTACCCACTACATCGTTCATACTGGCTCCAGGAGACAGTTGGTCGTTGCTGGAGGGGACGGGGTGCACGGTTCTTGTGGCCGTGCTAGGCTCAAAGAGCGGTTCCATGCACTCAGTGTGGAGCGGACTACGGTCCAGCCACCGCCTTGTGTGCGCTTGATTCCCCAAATACAGCGTGCTTGTGTTTGCCTGTGAAGGAGTGTGGGCCGGCTCCGTTGATGAAACGTGGTTCCCATCCGCATGCCTCCCGGTCTTATTCCTTCGGGTTTACACTGGATATGGGGTATGTGGTTGGAGCTGTGGGTGGTGCAGCGCAAGCCATCCATGGTCCCTCTGTAGGCGCAGGCGTCCTGTGGCTTGCCACAGTGACAGGCAAATCCGAAACCGGATGCCGCCAACCATGTATGTATGTGTGCCCCATGCTGAGGCTGATGTTGCATTCTTGATGCTTCTTCACCGCAGTTGGGCTAAACCAACTTACACTTAAACTAGGTCTTTTTAAGCTGGATAAATTTCATTCCGCTTTATTTGGTTTGTTCTGCCTCCCTGAATAATGTTCTATTAACTGGCTACGTTGCTTACACTAATTGCGCTTATCTTCGGTAATTTTGTTGCGTTTGTAGCATTTTAAGTAACTTGTGGACATGTCTTACTTATCACGGATTTGTTGCTAAC